TGTCCTTTCTTTAAGATTTTTTAATGATTCAGCATCCTGGGATGCTTTATAGTTTGGCTGAAATTTGCCCTATGGTTCGGGGGCCTGTGTTATTTAATCATCCATCACAATCATCCATGTAGACCAAATTCTCCCACATAGCTAAATCTCAATAAATAAGCTATATAGTTCCTTCATTTCATAGTACTCAAATTGAAGCAGAACCTCTTTTAAAACATTTACTATAATAATGGTTACCACAGCATGCAAATATTTTTATTATAATTTTTTTTTTTACAAAAACCATATATAGAAAAAAATATACTTCAACAACCTGCAGAAATAAATGCACAGAAGTATGCAACATAACATAATCAAAGTTAAAAGTAAAATGCCATTTCAATAAAAAAAAAGTTCTACAAAGCTTAAAAAACGCATCAGACAACACATGGTAATGACCAGATCTGGCCTCTTTATGTAAAGAGCTAACTAACCTTAACATTAAAACAGTTTACAATTACAAGCTTATTACATAATTATATTAAAATATTTTAAAACAGTTTATAATTACAATACTGAAAATGAAACTGGTTTATAAATACGGCATACACTTGTCAATTATAAATGCCACATGAATGTTACTGATTAGTATTTTGTTTCTTTTTTAATTTCCCTGTACTGAAATACATTGAGATATTTTTTTTTTTTTACTTTGGGAAACACAGAGCACAAGACAGCCTATTTAATGACTTAAACTCTATGTTTCAGATACTTGTCAATAACACATGTAAAAACCTGACAAGTAAGCTACTTAGTGCTCTGTGTTAGCTGAAGCATCCTTATGTTTTAAAAATTTAGGAAAAATCAATGAAATGTAGAAATTTATGTAAAATAACAGAATTCTTGGCATTCCCATGACCCTTGCGCATCTTTAATTTAAAAAGAAAATCAATGTTCAGGGTGAAAAAAGGAACTTAACTTGCTACACATTTTGTTAAAACAAATTATTTACAACTGTTTTCATTATTTTTTATCAAGCATATTATTTGCATGCTAGAGGTTCAAAGGTGAAAAATAAGTATTTTAAAAAAAAACAAAAAACTTCCATTACTTTTTAGACTTTGTACCCATCCTCAGTCTAAAAGGACATGAGAACCATGATATTCATTGGCTTTCTCTTTACCTGTAGATGCTGTTTACCAAAACTGGTTAAAATTGAATTTTGGAAGACAAAAATAACTAATGATGTACATATGTACCTTTGATATGCCAAATCATATTACAAAACAACTTATCACAAAACTCTCATTTGAAACACTTCATAATAAACCCCCATACAGCCAAATAAAGCACAATTCGCAGGTTCTTGGAAAAACTTGAAGAGGTTTTCAACATGTAATTGTAAAGGAATTATAGTTTACAGTAGATAAAATATATTTTACATAAAATCATAAAAAAAGTCCTCATTACCTGTATACTGGAAATAGTAATGGACATAGGGAAACTCAAAGTTTATTGATGTGACTAAGACTGATAATAAAATTGTAAACCATTGTTCATAACTACTTAAATAAGCAATTAAAATTAAAACTATATATAGATTACTGAAGCATTTGTAATATGGTACATGTTTGTGCTGTATTTGACATTACAAAATAATGGCTGTTCATTAAACATGTGCTTACATGTAGTAAGAAAAAAAATTTTGTTTGGGCATAAAACATTTAAAAAGACTAGATATTCTAAATGACTAGAATGATTATGAACAGAACATGTACATATAGCAAACATGCTACAAATACCAAAGAAAAAGCCAAGGGCCCAGAACACCTTTTAATGTGATTATTTTTCTTTTTTGTAAATTACAAAAAAGAAAAATAATCACATTAAATGTATGTAAATATTTAAGTTGTATCAACTGACAAAAGCTGAGAAGAGCTAAAAATATCTGAGGCCCAATGCTATAATCAGTCTATTAGTAATAGTAACAAACAAAAAACATAACAACAAATGAAATAAATCTATTGTACAATATACCAGAAAATTATTTTTGCTCACTGTAATACAAAGCAAGCATAGTTTTCAATTCATTTAACAAACACAAAAAAATTGAATAAAAAAAAATGATCTAAAGTAACAAAACAACATGTGCTTGTGAAACACTGATGCCCCTGTATGGCGCTCAAGGCCAAGGTTAAAGTTTTTCAAATATAGGTAAAACTCCACAGTCAAGATTTCAAAAATGTTGGTACCCAAAGAAAGGCCTTGTCACAAGGAATATTAATACACATATAAAACATGAAATCTCTAGCACCAACCATTCAGAAAATATGGCCAAGATTAAAGTAATATGCAAAGTTAAAGTTATTTTAAATGTAGGTGGAAATCAAAGGTCATGAGGTCAAAAATATTGGTACTCGCAGAATAGTCTCATCACAAGGAATATACCTGTGGTATATGAAAGTCCTAACACCCACCGTTCAAAAGTTATGACTTAAGTTTTCAATAGTAGGTTAAAATCAAAAGTCTCTGTCAAAAATGTTGGTACATATATCTAAAGGTCTGGTCACATGAAATAAACATATGAAATATAAAATCCCTAGCATCAACCATTCAAAAATTATGGTCAATGGTAAAGCTTGGTAAAATTTTTCAAAAGTAGTTCAAACTCCAAGGTCAAGGTCAAGAGGTCAAATATGTTGGTACCCAAAGAAAGGTGTTGTCACATGGAATATACATGTGAAATATGAAAGCCCTAGGACCAACCTTTCAAAAATGATGGGCAAGGTTAAAGTTTTTGCAGCCAAACAGACAGTTTGACAGAGAGACGGATGTAAAGACAGACCAAAAACTATATGTCCCTAAATCTTTGATTACAGGGGCACAAAAACTGAACACTTTATTTGTTTACAGAATCATAAGTACAAAAACAAAAAAAAAGACAAAAAACAAAAACAATAAACCATACACATCTTCTTCACTCTCAAAGTCTGAATAGTTTCAAAGCAATAATCAAAGACCTGAAAAGTAAATCACCTTGTATGTACAAATATTAAATACTTAATGTAAATTAATTTTTTCCCCATTTTCCTGGAATTGACAATTTCATCTAATTTGGAAAAATGTTTCTTAATCACATGCTTTACCCACATTTAAGAAATACACAACACAGCTCTAAAATTAAATTCTTAGTTTCAGGACAAAAGACTTCAACATTTATCATAGTAGTTAACTTAGCCTTGCATAGCATGTGTTTCCTTTCTTTTTCATGCAATCATTTTACATAGAATTACGACGTGAATCTCATTTTCTCAGATTATCTAAATTCATTTTCTATAAAATATATACCCTGGTACAAAGTTTCTAATTATTTTAATCATTTGTTACAAACAGATTATGCATAAAATGAATATTTTACCAAAATGAACTTTTAATTTCATAAAACAACTTATGTTATTTATCAAAGAGGACACTGAGTTATTCCCCTTTTTCAATACGACACTATCAAAATGAATACTGTAGTCCATACCACAGTCACTCTTCATTTTTTAATTGTCAAAATTACCATAATTAAACGATGAAGTTGCTTTTTAGAGAAAAAATTCAAAATTTATTATGTTGTCTTATACATGTATTCTCACACAATCTTCTCAACACTAAAAGACAATATTTGAGAAGCTCAAATGTATTAATGAGAATCACATTAAACTGTTAATTAATTCGCGTGTTTAAGAAGCTTTTACTTTGCAATTACAGTATTTGTATTTATTCTAGTTGTATGTATATGTGTTTATATAGTAATTCATATTGTAACAGTTATAAAATTGATTGGTGATACAGATTCAAAGTGCACACAAATTTCACTTGTTTATTTAATGATGTGCAAAATGGAATGGAATTAACACTGTACACAGAGCTGACTCTGCTAACTGCAGTACTGACAGTGATGGCAATAACCTCCACCTATTTTACCAGCCTGAGGTCATTTCTAGCCTTTGTAAGAGCTGTTGTATGCTCCACGCATTAATGAACATATTGCTTTCATTTTTTATTTTATTGTGTTTATAAAATTTATAAGATTTAGATAAGCGATTATACTGCAATATTTCTTTATATTATACTTTCAGGTAAATTAGTTGAATCTGATTCGGCGAGAAACATTTGTTAAAAAACACTATTACCCGCTGAATAATGAAGCCACGCCCACCAGCGTAGCAACAGTTAACATTACTTGACGAAAATATTCATGCGCGCAAGGTTCACTGTAATATGTATTTGTATAAAACATTCAGTATAATATAATAAATACTGCATGTAGTTGAGTGTAACATTGAAAATTTTCACCCCTCGAAAACCATTGTCAACCTCAGCTGCACCTCGGTTGACAATGGTTTTCTTGGGGTTATAATTTTCAATGTTACACTCAACTACATGCAGTATTTATATAATATTAAATTTAAAACACACTGTATTAGCATAGTACAGAAATGATCATTTTCTCATAAGTAATAGATTGTACTATTTTCAATAGCGTAAACATTGTTGAATCCTTCATCGCTGCCACAGTACATAAGCACTTTATGTGGGATGGCAGCAAAGAGCCTCAAGCACCTCAAAAATGATTCAATAAGCCAGTTTACAATCATTTCTCTGTTGCATTTTTCTTCCTTACTTAGTTTACAATAATATCACACTCTTCATTAAGATTAGGTACACTTGTACATTTTCAAAAAATGTAACTCTTGAACTAATTTTAAAGCCCTATTTTGTAAGAGGAAGACAGATTGACAATTTTGATATGAATGAACTAAATGAAATGAACCAAGCTTAATGTGTGTAATCTGAAGTACTAGACATTCTTATGATATGCTGCCTGAGGCATTTGCATATTTTGTATCAATATATACTGAGAATCATCACTATCTTGATTTCAATGCCTTTCTTTATTTATGTGCTGAAGGTTTCCCCTCCTAAGTCATCACTCTGACTGGTATTTACTCTCATTTTCTAGTTTTATTCCCTTATATGTACATTCTTTTCTCATTGGAATGCAGTTTTTCTTCCTCCTTCATGTTTTCTTCTTCCTCTGTTGCATCAGATCTGTCTATTTGCTTTAGGAGGTCTTCCTGTCAAATCAAAATGATTCACGTCAGTCAACACATTATTCTGAAGGTAAACACTAGTCAACATATCTCAATCCTTCCATAATGCAAAATAACACATTCATAAAGATTACATGTCCTTCTGAAGACATAAATAATTCATGATAAACAAAAATAAGCATGTTTTCTCACTTACCACGACCTCTCTTGAGTGATTTTTGGGGCGGACTTCCATTTTCTAAATCTCCATCTTTTGAATGCTCTTCTTCGTTTGAATTCATCCTTTTTTCTTCCTCAGTGTTTTGATCGTTTCCTCTTTCTGTCAAATCTGTCTTTTTATGCAATTTGGGAGGTCTTCCTGTAAAACCATGCTTATATAATGATTCTCTCAGTCAACAAAACATTCTAAAGCTAAACACTAATCTACACATCTCAATCTTTATATAATGCAAAACAACACTTCAGCAATTTAGGAGGCTTAGAGATTAACAAATTATCCATTGGCAAAAGATTCATTACAAAAATATGAAATATGATTTTTCAACCCATACATAAAATTTTCTCACCCCTGTTCTTTTTGCCCTTTCACACTTGCAAGCAATTTTGTCCCATATCCATTTCACCCAGACACAGTTGTGTACACAAGATAATGCTGTTTAGTTTGAATTGCTTAAAATTTGCCCATTTGTTTAAGGTGTGAAAATAAAATGGGAGCAAAAATTTCCCTGTACACAGTACTATTTAGTAAAGAAAAGAAAAAAATCACCACGATTTCGAGCTATAATATTTAATGCAATTTCCTTTATTTTCATACAGAGCTTTTCTTTTCCACAAGGTTTTTAAAAATAGTCTTAAAATGGCAATGACCACCTACACGTAGCCCTCATTAAATTTAATGTCAGTCTGAAAGTTTGAGATATAATAGTGAATGAATAAACAAAACTGAACATGTTTTCCGACTTACCACGGCCTCTCTTGAGAGATTTTGGGGATAAACTTTTATTTTCTGAATCTACATTTTTTGAGCACTCTTCTTCCCTTGAATTTAAACTTTCTTTCTCCTGCATGTTTTCATCTCTTTCTCTTTCTTTCAAATCTGCCTTTTTATGCAGTTTGGGAGGTCTTCCTGTGAAACAATGTTTAGACAGTAATATACATTCTAAAGATAAACACTAGTTTTAACATCTCAATCTTTACATATATACTGCAACAAAAACACAATTATTAACAAAGATTTCATGTCCTGATAACTGCATGATAGATAGTTCATGAATGAATAAACAAAACTGAATATATTTTCTGACTTACCACGACCTCTCTTGAGAGATTTTGGGGACGGACTTCCAATCTCTGAATCTCTGTCTTTTAAATTCTCTTCACCATTAGAATTCAGCCTTTCTTCCTCCTTCACATTTTCCTCAATCTTTTTATGCAGTTTAGGAGGTCTTCCTGTAATCATGTTTACATAATGATTCCCACATATAACAATACATTCAGAATATAAACACTGGTCTACACATGTACATACATATACCTATCTTTACATATTGCAACAAAAACATTTACTAATAAATCCTGAGAAAGAGTTCATGAATGAAAAAACTAAAAAAATGTTTTCTGACTTACCACGACCTCTCTTGAGGGACTTCTGGGATGTTCTTCCATTCCCTGATTCTCCCTCTTTGACTTCCAAATTTGTCTTTTGGCTGGCGGACAGGCTAGTTATTTTACAGGTTGTACCAGGCTCAAAGTCTTCCTCCCCCTCATCATCATCACTTGAAAAAGCTGATGTGTACCTTTTTCTTTTTCCTGGCTTGTTTACATCTCGAGGGGACTTCCAAGTGCCTCTTTTCATTTGTTTTTGTTTCTATTAAAAAAAATTTTTTCAACAATTAGGAATTACATCTTTTCTCCATGCAGTTAGTGGTAAATGCTTTATATCCTACTGGCTAATTTTGATAACAATTTCCTAAAACACATTAGGACAAGCGGCAATGCAATAAGCAACATAAACATTTGTCTGATTTTCCAGTAAGAATCTTTTTTTTTTTTTACAACTAATGAGTATATTTCATGGTTTACATGTCTAGGCGGACAAGTAGTTTTTTTTTTTTAAATAATATGCATCTGTTATTTTAATTAATTTTTTTTTTTTTCTTTTCCTTTTCATTTTGGAACATCACTTGCATTGTTTAATACATGTACATACAAATGTAATTAAACGGTAAATAACTAAAACTGAAGACATTCTTAAGAAGGTACCTAGAATTTGACATGGCTATGCTAGCATATACATGTACATGTATATGACTAATTATGCCCTGCTGCTCTCAAGGAGATTTTCTAAAGATTTACCTATATATTCCAATACATGTATTAAATTTTTTCACTTTTTAAAAATAGCACTGTTGGCAATGTTTTGTTAATACCAAATTACAAGGAAATATACTGTTTTAAAATTTACATCGACATATTCTCTACGATCTTGGGTACTAATGTGTGAAAATTCATTGATTTGACATCTTTGATGAAATATTCACAAATGTTTTTTTTTCATGGCAAAAGAGTTTAAAGGATGGTCTGGTTATCCAATGGAAGAGGCATTTGACAGACCAATAAAAATGATGACAAACTGAAAAGTCAGGAGCAGGACGTCATATGTGGAGACCGCTGTTTAACTATATGAGAATTTGGGATCATGATAGGGGTTGGGAATTTGTCTATTCAAAGAATTAATTCTATGATCTAATGATGATCGAATCGGATATGTGTGAGATGGGTATCTCGCTTACTAATGTAAAATTTAAAACAATTTCTGCCTCAATTGAATTTTTAATTTTAAATGTCTGAACAAATTTACAAATGCCACAGACTATGTTTTAATCTCATTGCACTAACAGCTTTTATTAATGACTCGTTTAACTGAGAGAAAAATGTTATCTATAGAGATATTTTATTAGAATTTCTTTTAAGTTTTCAAAAAATGATGATTATGGTGCACCTCAATTTTTAACTTTATAAGCAAAACAAAAAAAAAAAAAAAAAAAAAAAAAATTGAAAATGTTTGCATTTTTCTGGGACAACCCTCATATAATACTAGTATTCAAATGTACATACATAATAAAAATTTTGTTTTTTTTTTTCCAGAATTGTTTCAAAAGTTATACTAATTTGAAATTAAGACTTGAGTCTGTTCTCAGACTATGCTTTAATTCTTACACAATTCTCATCTGACATTTCCCAGTCTGTGTCCTCTTTGTCCTCCTTCTCAGATCCACTGTCCCAGCTATCACTGGAGTCCTCACTAGAGTCCTCAACATCTGATTCTACAGACAAAGCATTAGCAATCACAGAATCACTTACTATGAAATATACAAGCATTGACTTAGGTAACATTAGTCAATCTCTGGTTTACAACTGGAAATGTCTTTTAAATTTTATTATACATGTATTTGGAAATATTTGCTAACAAAACAGAGTATAATATGTACACTGTACAATGGAATGTAATTGTCTTTTGACATTTAACAAAAAAAACCAAAAAAAACATTCTTTAACACATGCCTATTACTTGATAAGAGACTATCAAAATCAATGAGAGCTACATACTACAGATTTAAAATGAGTCTAGGTTCTACAAAATTCTATGCAAAATGATTTCTCTTAAGAAGGGCTTCATAATTTGGTAAGATAAACAAAATATTTAACCAACTTAGGTACTGTGTTCAGGTATTTGCTGTAATTAAACCATATTTTTTTTGTGTTTTCAACATTGTACTTGTTCCACTTTTCAAAGATCATTATAATTACTGCATTATGCATATAATTTTCACTAGGATGTTAATTTGACAGTTTAATTACATATATGGCATTGGGAAAATGAGCAAATTTTGGGGAATTTCAGGTTAATTAAAAACTCATGTTTTGGGTTTTTTACTGTAATGTTTTTTCAACTTTATTTCTGGTTAGCAATACACAAAAACATGAGTAGTAAGCTAATTTAATTTAGAGAATAAGTTTCCTACTGTATTGGAGATACAGGGCAGGGCTTAAGGTGAGAGCAATAGCTTGAGCCGGTCCCCGCCCTGTACCTCTGATACAGTAGGAAACGAGTATTCTAAATGACTTGTGACATGACCTTTCTTATGACCTCACTAATCTACATGTGTATTTTGGTACATATCTCTCAATCAATCAGATGATTTTGCAGAAAGTTGATGTAGTACCCCATTTTTAGCAATTGCAACTGAAATGCCGAGTAAGGTGGACATGCAGGTATCTATCAATTTAAATAATTATAATCATGAGATGCATTATATAATGTGTTTTCCCAAAATTTAATTTATGTTTGACTGTGTAGTTTTTTTCCTTTCTATTTAGCTCTTGCTGACATTTTTTTTTATTCAAGCTACAAATTCAGTGAAAAACATTTTGATACATAAAATCATGTGGGAATGTAATTGAAGCAAAAATGTTTTGGGATGTATTCTGAGAGAAATGTCCTTAAAGTCATTGACCAGTCATGATACATGTATATACAAAATTCTTGGATCCAAATTGAAATAAGCAGATGAAAGAAAGGGGGCATAGTAACTTGGAGTTCATGTTTGAAACAAAATGTAGAGCAGCAACCAAAGGCAGATCCAGCACTCACTTGCGCTTCCCCTCCCCTTTCGATTTTTTTTTCCTTTTTGGCTTTCGTAAATTATGATTGCTAAACTTGTATATGCTTTCAATTTATCAACAGGTATCCATCACCCACATAGTGTCAGGCCTGATTATGAATCTACCCCCACAAAATCCCTGATTTTCCAGTTTAGGCTTTTTTTCCCCCGAAGAAAACCATTTGTGTACTGCCCCCACTCCCTCCTTTCTAAAATTTTTTGAATCCGCCACTGGTAACTTTACGTTGTAAAATCTATTCTTAATTCACCATAAATTCTGAATAAATACTACATGTAACAGCGCTATCATGCGATTTGAATGATTCCTATGTCTATATCATTAAAGATATGGATTCAGTTTTCCGTCATCACTAAAAAATAAACCGTACTGTATTGTTGATATTTTGCAGATAATGTACAGTTTCTGCTCATTTGTATAAGAAATGCCCACAAAAAGTGTTCTGTATCGCAGTTATTGTACGGTTGACTTCAAAGGAAAACTCGCCAGGTCATGTCACAATATATATCTAAATATTACATTGTATATGTTCTTTAATGTAAGGGAGTAATGACAAATGGGAAAATTATCACATTCAGTTTGAATGGGGAACCGGAGTGAGTTATCTTATCTTGCACCGCGAGAGGTCGCCACAGGAAAATGCGGTCCAACACAAAACAGCTGATAATGGCATATCTGCATCTTATCTGTATTCTCAAAGAAAGCGAACGTGTTTTATATTGTTTTAAGAGGAAATTGTATACAATGGCAACTAATTTTGGTTCAATGACTATTCCTGAATTACGAAAGGAACTCGAAAAATTTGGTGCAAAAAAATCGGGACGAAAAAGAGAGCTTGTAGAAAGGTACGTATTGTTTTACATTTTACGATTCTTATCTGTTTTACTTAAAATACTTACGCGATTATTCCAATCAGTATGAAGTAAGGACGCAAAAGTATGAAAAAGACAATTAATTAATTCCGATTCTATACCTGGCTAATTGTATTCGGCGCGTCGGCGCGCTCGCGCAACAGATTTTGTTTATAAAATAAATTATCGCTTATACAATATTGTTAGCATCGGGCTCGATATCATAAATAATCAAAGTACTTAGAAGTACAGAGAGCCGGGCTCATTTACAGAGAAGTGAACAAGTCCGTTTTACATGAAACATACATTGTAATTACAGATGAATAACAACAAGACACTGGAAGAATATGTAACACAAAAATATATTTATGACATATAGTATAAATAAAAAATGTTTAAAAAATAAAATAAAATGCAGTTTGAATTTACATTGATGCAGCAAGGTCAAACGTTTATACACAGACGGGTCCTCAGCGGGGAGTTTTGCATAAAGGTGTGCATCGGGTCACATGCTCCCCGCATTAGTGTAAGCCTGGTAACACAAACTTTATCTATAGAATGTGAGGCTGGCAGACTTGATGAAATTACCTATAGCATCTTTTAAACAAATAATTTATTGAAGAAAAGGGGAGAAAGTATATTATCATTTTTTTTTTTTTTTTTTTTTTTTAGAGAATTTCTTAGTTAAATTAAATTTGTTTAATTAAGTGTTTGTATTGCTTCAAAGGTGGTTGAGCATACGTACTATATTCTTACTCATATTTAATTTGGCGGTGAGGAAGCGGTATTTCCGGTTGAACACCGTAACATAAACCGGCTATTGCTCTACGAGCAATGCGTTCGGCTAAAAAGAGAAAGTTTCATAGATGGAATTTTGTTTTTGAAGCTTCAACATCACTTGTTTGCACAGGGTCCGTTCGCCTTATTTATATTGCAGAAAGTTGAATAATTAACCAATGGATTTTTTAAATAAATTATATGTACATTGGTACATAAATTGCACACGGGAGACAACAGACGAATGCATGTGGTCACACTATACCGGTAATTTATACCTGTACTAATCAAAGACCCAGCAGACCAACAGAAATTAACATCTCAGTCCTTTAATTGAACATAACGCAGATTGTATGATCCCCTAAATTACAGTGACATTATTAAGTGTAATTAAATCAATTAAGCATGTAAAGAGCATAAATATCAAATTTGAATTACTTCATTAAGATTACGGTTAATAAAAAAAAATACTGTAGCAACATTTGAAAAAAACACCAAGTAAAATATTTAATAAAATTAATAATAAATGTTGATATTTACTATAGTATATACTGTATATATAATAGGGCGAACGAGATATAGGGCGAACAAGAATAATGGCGAACGGACCTTGCGGTAAATTTTTGTTATACATAAAGAAAATTTATAAAAACCAAAGCACTAAATATTTTTAAATGCTATACATGTATATAGTTAATGTCTAGGGTCATTACGTAATACCGGTAAATTTTTGTTATACATAAAGGAAATTTATAAAAACCAAAGCACTAAATATTTTTAAATGCTATACATGTATATAGTTAATGTTTGGAGAGAGAGAGAGAGAGAGAGAGAGAGAGAGAGAGAGAGAGAGAGAGAGAGAGAGAGAGAGAAATCGAAAGTATAGGCCAACTCAAAAAATTGGGGTATATTTCGGATTACTCTAGCACAAATTGTGGTAAGGCATGCATGGATCAAATGGGATCCGGATCCCTGGAAAATTCAAATTTATTTGAACTGATATAGTAAAATTACTAAAGCTTTGCCTCGGACCTCTTCCCCTTGCGATTTGAGCCAACACCTCCTAGGGAAAAATTTCTGGATCCACCCAACAAAAAAATACAATCGGGCTCGGGCTGTCGACTTGAATATAACCGATAATGCTTAAATTATAAAGAAAATCGATGTCATTTGAGTGTTTTAATGCAGGGAGAAAATACTTTTGTGATATCGGGTTGAGATGGACGCGCTGGCGCGCCGACGCGCCGAATACAATTAGCCCTATACCTTTGCTGGACAAAATGTATTGCAGAACTTTTCAAACTGGTTTTACGATGTAACCCGAATTTCCTAGTCATTTATGTACGGGGCATAAATTAAAAATATACTCCATATTTTATCATTTTTTGGCAAATTAACAGATATACAGCGCTCAGAAATGTGTATTAAAATCAATGGTTAATTTTGTTTTGTAGAAGAAATGTCGACTAGGCCCATATTATGTATGAATAGTAACAGCTTATTTTGTTTTTAACAGGCTTGAGGCATACACACGCAATGCCCACTGCTCCAGGACAGACCTCACTACTGCTCAAGATTATGTGATGGCCTTACCTGATCCTCAAAAATATGAAGATCTAAACAGTGACAAGAATTTTCCTGGGTGTAATATGGATAACATCACCACATACTTGGCACAGTTCAATAAAAATCTGGAATCAAAAGCAAGGAATTTGTACAATGATGGATTTATTAAGTACATCCATACCACTGCAGACAATTCCCTATGGTATGTTAGGAGTGCCATTAGAGCAGAGATGTCAAAGTCTGTAGTGTATACTATAGACATTGTGATGGAAAATGATGGCAACATTGCAGAGTGTCAGTGCGAGTGTGCAGCTGGAATGGGACCACTTGCGCACTGTAAACATATATGCACAGCCCTGTATGCATGTCTTTCCTTTAAGACAAATGGAATTGTGAAAACGGAACAAACATGCACACAAAGGCTGCAGACATTTCACAGAGTGAGGCCACATAGAGGAACCCCTATGAAAGCGAATAACCTGGACATGCCGGGATGTGATGAAGTTTGTAATTTTGCTGATGGATTTGATCCGAGGCCAATAGAATATAGGAACAATCCAGGATATAAATCATACTTCCAGAATGTATGCCTTTCTTATCCAGGAGTAAGCAAGACTCCTATATTTCAAACTTTCCCTCCAGCAAATATGAGGGGAATTGATGTGGACCATGACTATTTTACTTTTCAAGGTAGCTGCGAGTATTTGAACAGTATAAATGTTTCAAAGATAACAGAAGAAGAGGCACGGATTCTTAATTTAAATACAGCAAAACAGGCTGCATGCAATATGTGGCACGAAGAAAGATGCAAGCGTCTGCACTCTTCTGTGTTTGGCAGAATCTGCAAAATGACTGATAGAACAGACAAAGTAAAACTAGCAGAGACACTTGTTACGAAACAACGTCGACTCCATTCAGCTCCAATTCTCCATGGACAAAAGTTTGAAAAAGTTGCCATAAAAAAATTCCAGGACATAACTGGACATACAGTATATGACACAGGAATTTGTGTAAGCCTAACAAATCCCTATTTGGCTGCTTTACCTGATGGCATCATTGATGAAGACACTGTTGTTGAAGTGAAGTGCCCTTATGTGGCAAGGAACGAAATGATTTCTCGACAGACAGTCCCTTATATAAGACAGAACAATGGTACATTTTCATTGGACAAAAACCATGACTATTATTATCAAGTTCAAGGACAACTTTTTTGTGCAGAGAAAAAAACTTGTTTCTTTATTGTGCATACATTCAATGATATTTTATTTTTCCAAATTCAAAGAAACGATACTTTCATTTCAGAGATGATAGGAAAACTAAAGTTTTTCTATGAAAATAATTTTAGGCCTGCTGTTCTGGAAAAAAATTATTTTAAATCTTATGAAGACTGTCATTGTCCAAAATAAAAGATTAAGATGCAGTCAGTTTGTGTTCATTTTAATTGTTATAGTAATGCACTAAGTTAGAAATTAAGACAACATCAAATATAAAACCAATATATATAAATAATGAAAGCAATTCATGTTGCTATGCATAAGATGGGACAATACAGGTTTTAAAATTGCATAACATAAAACAGACAAAAGTTATATGTGAGGACAGCTTTGTCTCTGAACTATTCATTGGTTCAGTTAAAATTTTAAAGATTTTAGCAAGACCAATAATTCGCTCAATATGCACCCTTTTGCTCGAAATTTTTCTGTCTTGAAGTACAGTTGCACATGACATTCTGTTCTTTTTTTTGAAAAATGTAGGTGTGTTTATCTGAATATTTTTGTGAACAAACATGTCTTGCACATTGAATCCTTTATCAGCCATGATAGAGTCACCAGGATCACATAAATTCAGCAAACTGCTACATTCCACTATTTGTCTGTCACTTGTTGAACCACCATATGCAGAAGATACATAGGGAACTAAGCCACCAGGGGTTGCACCAACCAGAATTTTCACTGTGTTCTTATTTTTGTATGTTGAGAATGTAGCTTGCTGGGATTTTGGTTGTTTTGGTTTTTTGATAGGACATTCTGTTCCATCAACTAGAACTCTGGATTTTGGAAACTTTAGTTTAAAATCAGAGGGACAAAAATATTTCACAAGGGATTTCGGTAGCCATATATCAACTTCTCTCCACTGTTTGGACATAAATAGAATCCAGGTATAGAATATATTAGATACAGTTTTTTCTGAAATGCCGAATAATCTTGACAATTCGAAATAAGTTCTGTGTCTCCTTAATTTGATGAGAACAAGAAAAAATTGATCTGGAACACTGATATTTGTGACTTGGTGATAAACATAATTCAAAGAATATGCTGCAGGACCTAAAGTTCTTAATACAAAATAAAATTTAGAGATAGTTTCCAAACCAGTGTAAAAATGAATGCCAGCATCATCCTTTTCAAAGTTATCGATGCACATTGGTGGAAATGTTGGCGTTTGTGTTTCCACATTTTGACGAATTGTTTGCTGATCATCATGTTGACTTGAGACATTTTCATTAGTAGTACTGCTGTAATCACAGATAGTTTCTTCTACAATATTAATGTCATCAAAAAACACTTCTTCTGAACTGTGACTGGTAGATGCAATGTCTTCTATTAATTTTCTTTTGACACCCCTTGTCCTAGCTCTGTCAGCCCTGGCAAGTACAGCTGGGCTTGCTGGATCTGCCCATTGGAAAAGGCTGGGTACTGCTGTTCTCTTTAACCTCTTACTTAAAGGTGTATTTCCTGGAAATATATTGATGATATTCATCAATATTTTTAAGAAAAAATATATATTTCAAAGTTTTTTTTCATTTCAGTATGTAAAACATTTAATGATTAATAAGAACATATGGATATGTTAAAAAAAAAAAAAATGAATAAATTTGACTGAAGATGCAAACTATTAATTAATTACTATGGCATTGTTTTTCCTTGTTTGATAATCAGGTTAGGAGATTAGACTAATGTAATTAACAAATGCAGAAGAAGTCATCATTTACCACAGGTGGTCTCATTGAACATAGAAATTTACGATGCCAGATGTTTACACAGGGCAGTTGTTTACGTATGTATGGCATGTTTCCGATAGTGCAAATCAGTGGGGGTGTACTCTTGGCATTTGATGTCAAGAGCTGTTGTTTACGATATAATTTAACTACTTTTGTTGATAAAAAATGAGACACATAAAGAAAGACTAAACTTTTCACTAAAACTAAAAAAAAAAAAAAAAAACTCAATAAAAACTCAAAAATATGTCAATTGTCATTCGTGAAATTCGGCAGAACGTATCATATATTTTACTTGTATTTTGTTGATTTCATACCTAAAATTATAATTTTTTACCATAAATTATTTTGTGCATAATAAGTTTATGTAACATTTAAAAAATAGATGAGGAAATTTTTAGTATTTTACCGTGAACAGTCTCTCCTAAATAATCGCTTTCTTTGAAATGCGATCTGCACACCACAGCATAGGCAGAAGGTTCCCAGCTCTGAAAACGTGTTTCTCCTCGTCTAATTGCGTGAATCCATGATTTTCGCCTCGTTTGATCTGATGGGAAAGCGTGTCCACCTCTATTACTACACCCAGGTACGCAACAGCAAGTCTCCGGCATGTTTCACGTGTGTATATGACAGCGATTTGTTTACATGTGCTATGGTAAAATCGTAATGATAATGCGCGAGCTAGTTCCGAAGGGGACCGCATTTTTCTGTGGCGCCACCTAAGGGAAAGATAACAGGCGCCGGTGCACCATTGTGGATGTTTCTCCAAATATAGCTATATAAGACAACAAGAGCCCTGTATTAGGTGAACATAACTAATTACACATATCTACAGTACCTTCTTGATGTACTATGGACTTCATTGCTCTTCTTTGTGGACTGATTGGAATTTTGTTCACTGTGCGGGGTCTTCCTCTTCCTCTTTTCACCTTCCGCGGTGATTTTCTACTGCCCTTTTTAACTGGTTTTTGTATCTATTCAATCATATTAAACATTTTGAAGAAATAAGAGGGTATATTATTATCTCATAAATATTTTCAATAATTTGATAATAACTACACATTTACACCAGTTCAATGATAAGATCACCTCTACACCAATATATTACTTCTAACAGGGTATTATTTTAACTCGGAATAATTATTTCATTCGGAATATAAAGAATTGAAAAAAATAAGCAACTAAGTCTCCTTACATGTACTTGTAGCTCAAAAGAAAAAAAAATGTTGCCTTAATTCTCTGCATTTTGTGTCTAATACAGTATTGAGTGAAGATTTTGTTTATCTCTCTATATTATAAATAATTTATTTTATTTCTTGTAATATTGTTTTTTTTTTTTTTTAATTTATTTGTTTGTTTGTTTATTGTTGTGTTTGTTTATTTATTTGTGTAAACAAGGTTGCTTGTATTGGCAGGGGTTAGATGAAAATTTTATGGGGTTAGTTGGCGCATGCCTAAAGGGGTTAGTCGCCGCTGAGCGGCGACTAACCCCTTTGAGCATGCGCCATTTGAGTTAGTTAAAAATCCTGTAGTTAATCCATATACAATGTGTATTCGGTCTGTATTGTTAATCAGTCCACGCGATGTACAAATTAAACGGTAATTAACACGGTAGAAGTATTTGTACTGTCACGCTGCGCTAAAATCCCAAGTATCTTTCATTCTATAAGTATCCATGAATGAAGACTACACAAGCCGATATCCTAAAGAAATAACTCGCAGAGAACGAAAATACATACCAATGCATATTCATTACGATAACCGAAAACACTAACAAGTATTTTTACAGTCGTAACAACGATTAAATCCAACAAATAACCAGAGAAATGCGACGATGTCAACACTGCCAATACACTGCAGACAACTCCTGTTCGACGTCACTTTTCGAAGTGCGACGTCACACGTACATTGTTTTCCCGAACTTTCTGTGGCAAAATGGCGTATAGGCATTGTATGTAATATAAGGTATTCTGTCATCGTAGTACAACACACAAACTTTATTCCTTTAGATTAAAGTTTTCCTTTACTTAGGTAATCAAATAGCAGAAGAGGAGACGAAAGCGAGCAGTGTTTAGTACAGAAAACAGGTTTCAAAAATTTGAAGATCCATGATCCGCCCACTTGTTTCACCCCAGCTAAGAGCGGCATATTTAGTGTGCACATCTCGAGTTTTCAAGTCGATGTGACGTCACAGTCAAGAGCAGAGATAGTATGACAAGAGCATGATAATGCAGGGAACAGATTCTGTTAAAAAATTAAATTATTTGTATCTTTCGATTGATTTTAAATAAAAAGATCAACATTTAAAAAAAGTGATTTACAGTGAAAACTTAAAGAACGTTAATCGTCAATTATCAATACATTTTGATCCTACCGGTGGGGGGGTTGGAACCAAATAAGGGGACGACCATTTCATTGCGAGGGGAGGGGGGTAATAAATAATCTGTCCTCTAAAATGTTGGTCTTGGAAATAAATAATCCGTTCTTGACTGGCAGGAAAATAAAGAATTTGTCTTTGACTGATGCTATGAAAATAAATAGTCCTTCACCGACATAAAAAATAAATTGGACTCGGAAAAATTTCCAGCCACCCCCTTTCAGAATCAAATGATCGTCCCCTAATCTGTCTTGCATACACTGGGACAAATAGGGAGGAATGTAACTCAACCCCCAACCCCAATTTTCTCAGATTATTTTTTTTTTGTTTGTCAGATTTTTCAAGGAGAAGTAAAAAGTAAATTAAGCTTGATTTCTCTCTCAACTTTGATTTGAATCGAAAAAATGCCAGCCCCTAAATTATATCCATTATAGTCATATCCTAAATTATTTTGTAATTAAGTAAAACCCGTGAAATAACAGATCGATATATTTAAAAAAATCAGCCAGGTGATTCACGTTGACCATTACTTAGAGAGTCTATATCGATATCCAAATCCGATACCCCCACCCCGATTTTAATAATCACGTACAGCACAGTTGAAATATTTAATTTCTTTTAATTTTCTTCTTGAATCTTAAAACTTAGACCAAGGAAACAATTTATAAACGAAATATTAAACAGCTTCACAGAAACCCGATTCTTCTTAAATCAGGGGGCAATGGTTAGATTTTATTCCCACCCCGGCAGAAAAAAAATGGCAGGTTTGATCACAATGTAATAACAAAAAATGTGGTAGAGGTCGGCTTTTCAATAAAAAAAAATCCAGACAAGGCTCTCTGAAAAAAAAGTCACTACATCGAAGGGTTTTAATCTATATGCACTTTCTAAATGTACCTAATATTCAATATCTCTTTCTCCCCTAATGGTAGGGCTGTGTATTGAGCAAAATATTTCGATACGATACGATACGATACGATATTTTTTAAAGCGATATATTGGATTATTTATTAAGTCTTTCACAAATGTCTTGTAAATGACATTTAATGCATAAATTTGATAAAAACTGGGTGAGTCTAACATAACATGTTAAAATATAGTTGTCTATGTATTTTGTAATAGTTATTTAAGATGTGCTATCTCCTTAATGTTTATTTCATTATTGATCATTTTTAATTCAAAACAGTCAAAAATAATCTTTGGTAACTGAAATTCCCAACCTTTTTACAGAATTACAAGGAAAACTGCCTGTCCAATACGTATTGGATGTTATTTTTTCGATACAATACATTCCTGAAAATCGATACGTATTGAATATTCGATATATTGACACAGCCCTACCTAATGGAGGTTTTTCCTCCGCTGATGATGGTCACAGGATACACGTATTTGGTATTTGGCAGTACTGGAAGTTTCCGAATCACACTCAGCCAATCGCGAAAGAAGTAGACCTTGCAATCATATTTTATGCCAATAATAAATGAATGAACACACACACACACACAAGATATTTTAGTTTTTCTTTTATCAACAGCGATAAATTCCTCCTTCCTGAACAAAGTGTGACTTGTAAAACTTTGAATTATGTTTTAAATCCTCTTTTACTTTTTTTTTTTTGGATAAATCCATGCACTAAAATGGAGATGAAGATTATCGCAAGATGTATAGCGATAATCTAATATTGTTGTTTGCCGTACACACCTCGTAAAACACAAATGTTGAGATGATGCAAGTTTATGTTTGTGATCAATACATATTCATCTAAACTACAGTTCAAAGTTCATTCAGATACTGTACATGTATTAATTTTTTTCGTAGACAGCAAGAATGAAGGGCAGACAGGACAAAAAACATGCGTCCGATCTTCGATCTTTGAATTTAGACATAAAATTTACTACTAAATTCTGTTTCATTGATAATGTTTTCGCACATTTACGCAAATATCCTTTCTATATAATTGTGCAGTGAAGTATATTTATTTAGATGAGTATTTTTCGTAATTTTATATTTTTCGCATATACTTATGTACATATTTTCTTTCTAAATGTTCTATTGCTTAACTCGAGTTATCTTTTTCATATAAATAAAAAAAAAAAATAATGTAACTACAACTCACGCATGCTGCAGATGACATCAGTACATATCTGATTTCATTGTCAAACCCAGAAAGAATATTATGTTCTCCTTATGTTCATACAACGGAGATCTAGATTGCCACGCTCTTAGTTTACAGGGGAAAAAAATCACTAAATAAATTATAGTGAACTATTTATGAGGAGCCGACAAAGCTATTGCGGGGGGGGGGGGGGTTATCACTTTCCTTAGTCAATTTCTCCAGATACCTAAATTTCTTTACCAATTCACAACGGATCTGTGTTTCCTGGTGTAATTGATATTGGTTAAATTACTGCATGATGAAGTTAATGGAAGAGCCTTATGTGATGACCATTTACACGGATAACTGCTCGACATTTTCTCAAATGAAAAATAATCGATGTTACCCGACGTTTGGACTGTCGACGAAAGTCAGCAGGTACAACGCATTTATCAGGCACGTAGTATCGGGGGGGGGGGGCACTTTTTGCCAGTTATAACCTTTAACTGTTGAAAAATGTTCATTGGTGGTGAATAAAATTTGGCTAGGTAAGTTGTTAAAATCCCCCCCTCCAACTTTCAAAAACGATACTTTGTGCCTGTTTATACAAAATGGAGTCGCTGCCACTTGATGTTATTTTTCTTTTAATGAAAAAATATACCCCCTACCTAATTATTAGGTAGGGGGTATATTTTTTTATTGAAAGAAAAATAAGTAACGTCAGGTGCCTGTGGTTGCATCCTATTTCTTAAAGATTAGGTAGGGGGTCTATATAATATTTTTTAATTTTTTTATACTAAAAGAAAAATAAGTAACGTCAGGTGCCCGTGGTCGCTTAATTAAAGTATTGGATAGACAGAATTGATTGTCCCTTCTGTAGTGTTTTAGATACAGGTAAGATCTTAAAATTCAAAAAGTTAAGCTCCAGACTATATATAATTATATATGGATAAGAAGTCTCCATATTTTCATGGACGCCTACTCAACACATTCGAGGTAGTACATGTACATGTATTTCCGCTTCTCGGAAAGGCCCGAGAAGTTGCGATTGTTGATCTGAAAGAGAAAAACCAAAGCGCATTATGTACAAGCACAATAAAAAAAGGTCCAGAAAACAGAGATTTGTTAGGAATTTTCAAAGTCCAAGGGCTGGGGCATGTATATACTAGTATATATACGTCCTTGCTAAGGGCCATAAGCCCATAATTTTCGTAAAGATGGGTCAGTCAACACGAAACTCATACTTGATCTGTAAGACATCAATATCAAAAGACATACTAAAAATCAGCTCATTATATACCAGTAGTATCTTCAAGTATAGACATAAAAATCTGGAAAATGACGGACGGACAGGGGGTAACACTACACAAGACAAAATTGCTAAGGCACCACCAAATAAAATTACAATGCTAATTTTCTAAAATTGTTTATGATGTTTTTGAGAAACAAATATGTTATCAAAGTAAAAAATGAGACATTTAATGTCCTAACTTATCAATAAC